ACATTGGTGGACGTGCAGGTGAATGAGCCGGTGATGTTGTAGCTGATGTCACCGGTGTTCACACCTCAACTGCTAGCAGAGCACCTCACCCTCCCTGATTGAACTAACCTCGTTATCTCCACACTGATTTATACCTGCCTCTGGAGATTTCCATTACTTGCATCTGAAGAAGTGAGGTTCTTACCCACGAAAGCTTATGCTCCCTATACTTCTGTTAGTCTCAAAGGTGCCACAGGACCTTCTGTTGCTGACACTAAAAATGTTTTGTTAAACCTGTTAGTGTTGTCCATAGCTACAGAATCTTGAGATACCACTGTCCATTGGGAAGTTGAGCAATTCCTCTTTGAGCCAAGCCACAGAATTGGCTTCCAGTGTCGCAATAATACTAATACATCCATCCTTGTGATTCAGCACAGTAATTTACACAATCTGTTCGTCTTCCACCTCGCTGTAATAAGGGATGTTCAAGCTGTGACTGTGGCAGTTTGGCATGGGTGTCTTGCTAGGGTTACCATACGTCCGGTTTTTCCCGGACATGTCCGGCTTTTTGTAATCAAACCCCCATCCGGGGGGAATTGCCAAAAAGCCAAACATGTCCTGGAAAAATACCGCCGCCGGGCACTTCCCCTCCTGCAACTCCTGTGCTCCTCCCCTGACTCTTTGGCTCTGTTTAAGAGCCGAGCTGCCCGAGTGCTACCGGCTTCGGGCAGCCCCCATGCTTCCAGACCCTGAGCCGCTGGCCGGGCACTTCCCCTCCCGGGCTCCGGGAGTCGCAGGGTCCAGAGGCCTGGGGACTGCCCGAAGCCCGAGCACTACCGGTTTGCTGGGTGCTTCCCCTCCCGGGATCCAGTTGCGCTGGGGAAGCGCTGGCCGGGGGCGCAGGGTCTGGGGGCTGCCTGGCAAACCGTGAAGCCGGTAGCGCTCCGGCAGCCCTTTTCGCATGGCTGGGAGGGAGGAGGGGGAGTTTGGGGAAGTTGCGGGGAATAGGCAGAGTTGGGGCAGGGAAGGGGCGGAGTTGGGGTGGGGCTGGGGGTGGGAAAGGGGCGGGGCCAGGGCCCTGTGGGGTGTCCTCTTTTTTTATTTTTTTAAATATGGGAACCCTATGTCTTGCTGTCCAGGCATTGCAACGTTAAGTTGTTCTTTTGGGTAATGGTCAGTTTGCACCTTGGGCGGGCCATGTGGAGAGAGCACCCTTGGTGAGTTAGTTAGCAATGGAACTGAGATGGCCGAAAAGACATGGAGCATAGTGGGATGGAGGAAAATCTTTCATTTTTAAAAAGATTATTCACTGGATATATATGCATCTTTTGGCATTTTTCTTGTATGTTGTTTGTGTTTGTCTTGTCTGTTCAAATACTCTTAAGGGCAAGGACCATGTCTCTGCGTGGGACCCTGGTAATAATTGGAGCCTTTGGGTACGATTTCAATAATAAAACCTCATTAGTGCCACTTTTTTCTTGTTTCACTTTTTAAATTTTGAGATGCCTGGGTGCTTGTAATGAAACGAGCGTATTTGTTTTCAGTTTGTGTTCCTCCTCGTTTCTGTGGGTGCACAGAGTATAAAGTCATCTATTGCAGGATATAGTATACAAAGGAAGTTTCAATGACTTAGAATTCTTCTTAACAGTTATTGATATGACAGTGATTGTTAAAGATGTACCCTGTATATTTTCATTGACAGATTCCAGTTGCACATTGTTTTGGACCTCCGGGACATTACAAAAGAAAGTTTTGCACCGTGTGCAGAAAGCAGTTAGAGTCCCTTGCATTTCGATGTGAAGGTAATTTAAAACGTGTATATGCACAGTCATGTTGTGTCACATAAAAATAGATATATGTGTATTTCTAAAGATATATAACGTATGCTGCTAATAACCCCGAGATAAATTCCTTTCTTTTTGCCTTTATGAGATAAGCTTGACTTAATTTGTACTCTGGGCTGCTTCACTTGCATTCTGTCCAATAATCTTTGTGTCTGAACTAACATTGCAAACTACCGAGCACCTTCAAACAGTTACTGTAAAAACAAGGAACAAAAATACATGCAAACATATATCTCTTCACCAAATGTGGATTCCATCCCCTGATTTTACTCTGGTCCTTGAATTTTTGTTGATGCTGCTGCGGGTCAGTGACAGGCCCAAAAGCAAGCCTCCTCCCCTCGGAGAAATGTGATTCTGAGCTTTCTGTTAGTGTGTAGCCCAAACATCTACCCCTGAAGGCTTATGAGATACTGTGACTTAAATAAATGCCAACACTTTTGACAGAAAAGCTATTTTAGACTGCTTTTAACATATTCTCACTTTTCTATCACTGTCTGTAGATCAGGGCACCTGAAGGGACATGAAAATAGTATCACTAAAAATAATTCTACTCTAAAAATGTTCCGAAATAGCTTTCTGTAAAAAAATGCCATAAACCAAATACATGTTGGTCTGAAGGCTTCGTTGGCACTTGTTTGGGGCAACCTGCCTAACTCACGCATGGCCGTGAATGACATGGCCATTTCAAAAATGAACGTCACTGGGAGTCGGAAAGGCACTGCTGAAAACTTTATCCCTGCTCTAGTGTTCCCCTGTATGCATGGCAGGAGAGCAGAAACTGAAGAGACAATAGGTTGGAGCGTACATGGAGGGAAGAGGGAATAGGGATGAACCTAGAGTGATGTTGGATAGTCTTGGGCCCATTCTGAAGACCCTTGTAAGCAGCATCAGGGATCAGAAAAAAGCTTTATAAAGTTAGTTTTAAAGATTTTTTTTTAATTGGGTGATAAAACTTGTGTTCTCTTTTGATGGTCTTCATATTGACTCGTTCAAAGAAATGGTATTGTTGACAGTTAGAGAGGCACTTATAGCTTGAGATGAGTTTTGATTTGATGACTTGCCTTTGTATTTGACAGACCAATTCCTCTACTTTTCTGCAGTTACTGGCCTTCAGTTGTAAACTAAACAATCAAAATATGCACTATGAAAGAGCCCTAAAGGCTGCTCAGTTCTAGGGTTATCATATTTTGTGCATCCCAAAGGAGGACACTTCACGGGGCCCCCGGCCCCGCCCCCAGCCCCGCCCCAACTCCGCCCCCTCCCCTGCTTCCCGCGAACATTTGATTCGC